GTTGGCCGAAAACCATGCTGCGCATCTGTGAGTTGCACGCTAACTTGCCGATAAACATTCGCATAAATACTTGACTCCAACACTTTAGCCATAGTTGACAATATTGCAACCGGTCTGTATTCTTCAACTTTAGTTCCCGAACCTCCCTTCGGCACCGGTATGACTCGGGTAATCTTCCACATTTCAGGAAACTCTGATGTTTTGAGGCAAAGATTGTAGATATACAGCAGCGGTCTCGCTAATGCCATTGCTAATTAGTAGCTAACATCATTGTAAATGGTAGCTAACATCACTGTAAATGGTAGCTAACATCACTAAATGGTAGCTAACATAACTGTAAATGGTAGCTAACATCACTGTAAATGGTAGCTAACATCACTGTAAAAGTAGGTTCATATAACCACCTCTGCAACATCGGTTAGCAAAAAGGCTTGAACATTTTTTATATTTTACCTTTCTCATCGACGATTAACTGTACGCATTCTATGTTATCGCTTGGCTCGTCACTCTTTATCACAAACTCCACAGTATCTTGTTGACTGGAGAATGACTCTCCTCCAATGTGGGGGAACTGACCCGAAATACTTTCAATCTTAAGAGTTCTGTCGGACAAAAGAAGTTAATAATTTAATTACATACATACATAACATCACACCTTATATCCCCGAAGGGATAGGCAGAGGTACACATTACGGCACTTAATGCCACTGTATAATGTAACAGCCACTTTTCACTATGTATGTTATGAATCCCAAGTAATAAGGGGTGAGCCTATTGCCATATTATTATAATGGACACAATTCCAGACTACGTGCACTGAATTTTTTTTTAATTCTCTGTAGTACTTTGTCCGACCCGGGAATCAGACCCGAGACCCTTTGCCCAGCAGTCACACTTGCGGCCACTCGGTCAACGAGGTAGTCATAATTTAATTATTCCTAACAAATACAAGCAGCAATAGCAAGCAAGAGACGCCAGGTTCAAGTCATGAGTCATTATTAGCTATTTGTCGGTTTTTCAAAACTAGTATGGTGTTTAAAATTATATTAGGAACCTGACGACTTAGTACTTATTACTATAACTTTCGTAAGACATATTAAATAAATTATTATGTTTTCGGCATACTCACGTAATAATTTAACATGCTAGAGGCTCATATTCATGAGCAGCATTTCGCGACCTGCGACGCGGCGACTGTCGCGCTGTTACTGTAGTCGAGTTCCTCGTCAAATAATTACGTGAGTAAGCCGAAAACAATAATTTATTTAGTTTTTTTACGTTCAAAGGTTCAAAGGTTCGAGGTCGAAACGAGACCGCATTCAGCACTCTGATTGGAGGGTTCATCTGTGATGGATCGGTTTGTCTTCGTAAAACGTAAAAATATCTGTGCTTACGCCTTATGCTTTCAGGGACTAAATTTAACTTTTTTGAAATAAGTATAAGTAACCTACCCTTCATCAACGCCCAAAATGCTGCCAGTACCATTTTGAGTCTCGTTTTTCAATTTCTGTACTAGTTCTGTAACAAATATTGACGTCATTAATACATACTTAATACTTATTTTTTATACACATTACACAGCACTTTTTACTTTTATCATGCATCGAAATTTGATAATAGTGCGGTTTTATATGTGGTGCTAATAAAGATAACTTTTAGCTAAAGACTAGCTTTCCACGGTTCCACAAATAGTTTCCTTCGTTAGTAATTTGGCTTCATTTTGGGTAGGTCATAACTGCATATCTGAGTATCAGGGATAAAATTACTATGTTGCTCCCCAGGAAGTAAGATTTTCAATAATTACTTTTTTTTTAAAGTTGACCCACACTAGGATCTTGGTCTGTGTCGTGGGTGCGTTTACAAACATACTAGTTCACACACACATGACACCCAGACCTAGAACAATAAATTTTGGATCATATAGAGTTGTTCCGAGCGGAAATCGAAGTCGCGATACGTTGCGCGGCAGCCGGTTGCCCAGCTACCGCGACAACTGTGCAATGAAAATAATGAAAGCATTTTTCAAATTGGTCCAGTAGTTTCGGAGCCTATACTCAATGCAAATAAACAAATATTCCATCTATTTAACTTAGTAAAGATAGATTATAAAACATACTATCATTAGTAGTGATGTCATGAAGTCCCAAAGTATTTAGTACAAATATTTTGTCATTAGATTCCAGTAGTATCCAGCCTTTCTGTTCCAACTGTTGGTACTGCTCATCGCTTAGTGTTATCTGAAAAATACAACAAATATGATAACATAGATATTGTATCTTTACATGAGTTAAAGTTATAAGATTAGACCCTGAATATTGCAGATCATGTACACCTGTTAGTTTAAAAAATAAACTCAATTAAGTACAAAGTCTAAAGATCAAAGTCTAGACATGACTATGCAGATCATGTATGTACATTGTTATTGTATATAGACTAATGAAATTAAAGGTGCAAGTCATATATGACCATTGAAGAATGTTGGTTTTGAGTATTGCATTAAAATTAAGTATACTTTATTTTATCTTTACAAATAAATAAAATCGGAGTGTCTGTTTCTAATATTAAAACAACCTTTTTTTACTACATGCTTATTATCATAGGTACATTCGATACCTACACATACCAAAATATTTTTTTTATCTATAAAAATTTATCTCTGGAATGGCTGTATTGACTTTGCAACTTTTATTGGTAGGTAGCTGATGTACTAAGGAGTAACATAGGTTACATTTATTTTAGAAAATTGAAACAAAAAAATACTTATGTTCTATAATTAATATTCTACGCGAACGAAGTCGCGGGCAACAGCTAGTATGAGAATAAAATTAAATGGAAATAGAATTAATAGCATACTCTTATTGATTCATCTCTCTACATTATCTCCTAAACTGTAATACCAAAGTGGCATTATGTAAAGACTAATCTTCTGCCAGCAGCTACCCTAGCGTATATATGCCTATATGCCTACGTCCCCTCGAGATAAAACCTAGTCTATGCTGGGTGTAAACGGAGCGCTCCCAAAAAAGCAGATATGTGATAATAAAAAACACACAATTCAAGGCTGATGTTGCATGAATAACGTGAAAAAAAAAAACAAAAACGATAAATTATATTAAAAACCATTTCTTTTGTCAGCGTTCCATTTACTAATTGTAAGTTATTCCAGACCATGATAATCTAGCCCTGTTCTAAATTTGATCTCAATTCCTTCACCTGTTCTATCTGAAGATACTCGCTACTCGCAAACGCTTTACAAACACACAATCATACAAACTTTCACATTTATACGATGTTAAGCACAAAAATAATTATTATTATTGATCTAGTGACTTGATATATCGAAAATACCCAGAATTTATTCATACTAAAGTAGTCTCTAAACATCGGAAATAAGGTCTATAATGTAGTCAAATAATACTATTATTATTGATCTAGTAACTTGATATATCGTACCGAAAATCCCCAGAATTTATTCATACAAAACAGAATTAAGGTCTATAATGCTATAATGTAGTCAGTGGAGAGTGGTCACCGGTGACCACAGGATTGATCACCTAGTCATAGGATATAAACTATTATGATCTAAAACAGATCAGAATGAAGTTGCTTCTCCAATGGTTTTAGGAGTAAATAAATACTACACCTCAGTAAAATCATTCCCTTGTTTACTAGTGTGTGTAACAACATCTATGTCGACATCAACATCCTGTGTGTTTTGCTGTTTATACTCATCAACAATCACATCCTCCTCCATCTGGAAAAAATATAAAGTTGTTATTGTTGTAAAATTGATCACGAGCTTCTGTAATATTAAGACATACACACACACAAACTTTTGCTTTTGTAATATTAAGTAGGTAAGTTTTATTTCAAAATATTTTCAACTTAAATAATAAAATGAAATCCTTATCACTACATAGTATAAAACAAAGTCTATCTGCCGTCTGTCTGTCCCTATGTATGCTTAGATCTTTAAAACTATGGAACGGATTTTGATGCGGTTTTTGTTAATAAATAGAGTGATTCTTAAGGAAGGTTTAAATGTATAATACATGCATATTGCACCTGTGCAAAGCCGGGGCGGGTCGCTAGTCAATAATTAATATCATCACGATTGGGGTTTAATTTTCACGATTTCTTCCCCAATGGTGTAGCCACAGGTGCAAATTATGGCATTTTATTCCACTGTACAATGATTCATTATTTGTGTTACAAGTCCCATGGATATGGGTAATCATTGGTAAAATTTTCAAAATCTACTGTTTATTTCATGAAATAATCATACAAAACCAAATAAATAAGCCAGAAACATTACCGGTTCTGTTGTGCTGCTTGTGCTTGGTTGCAAAAGAAAACTATTGCTATACAGGCCATTGTCTCCGTCTGGTAATATGAACTGATCTGGAATTAGCATACATAATGTAATCTTAACAACTGGAATCAGATATTTTACTATACAATACATATTACTTCCATGTTAACTGAAATGAGAGTCAAATCTTTGGTTTGTCGTAGCTGCTAGAAGAACAGCTACCATTGCAGATTTACTTCATAGATTATGTGAACAATATCTTTTTTGTGTTGTAACTTATTGTAGCTTCAGTTAAGAACAAATATAAGTACATTTTTTAAACATTGCCCCACCCTAGGCTCTTCTCCTGTATCGGGGTGTGTTTACGAATATAAAACATCACATATGTATCACACCTAAACCCGAAACAATAATTTTTGGATCGCACAAAGAGTTGTTCTGTTTGGGAATCGAACCCACACATTGTGCAGCAGCCAGTTGCCCAGTCAACGCGCAAACTGTGCAATGGGAGTATTATGTGTGAGATTTGATATAGCTCTCCTCATGGTTCAAGTGTGGGAGAGCTATGCTTCGGCATCAATGGGCCAGCTCAACTGGAGCGATACCACGGCGTTACAGAAAACTGACATGAAACAACACTTGCAATGTGCTTCGTCATGTGAGTGAGGTTACCGGAGGCCATATTACCCTGTTCCCCAATGTTCCTAATCCCTGAATCTCCAACAATCCTCAAATTCCTAATTCCCAAAAGGTCAGTACCACACTTGCAATCCATCTGGTATTTCTGGTGTCCATGGGCGACGCCGATTGCTTACCATCACATGATCCGTCATTCACATTCACTCAATGACTTCTAAATAAAATAAACACCTCTGATTTTCATACTAACTTTGTTCAAAGTCACCAGACACAGAGATGAGTTCAGCAGAATTGTCAACATCTACAAAGAACTGTTGTGAAGACACTCCATACACTGTACATGGTTGGACATCCTCCAGTACTTCTTTTACATCCTGTACCTGAGCTACATATTGGATCTGTCTGTTTACTGAAATATTGTAGAAATATGTTATTTGTATAAATTAATCTGTGACTGTTTCTGTATTAGGAGATAATACTACATAAGAGGTGTTTGCTATATTCCCCACACATTTTCAAGTGAGTTGCAGTTTGCAGTTTACAATGTAAGGTTGATAGGTTGGTAGGTATCTTTAGCCCTTGGAGTTTAATAAAGAGCACTCAAGCTCGGTCCGTATCAAATGTTTAAGATCATCATCCCATCATTTTAGTTGTTATCTATCTTCTGACACTTGTAGGGATAATAGGGGTGGTGAGGTGTCAAATATATTCTAATCTGCCGTCATAACACATTAAGATACTTTAGATTTTGATGACATTATACTTACAGAGAAAAGTTCCATCATCTTGAAGAACGAAAAACTGGTCCGGTTCAGTTTCACTACCATTGGATGGTAGAAATTCGTAAGTCTCATACGCATTTTTGTCCATGTTACATAGCTACTGTTAACAATATTGTATGATACAAATTAAATATAATTTGTACGCTAGGTACAATGTTATTATACTCTTCATGTTAGGGTAGTTAAATTATCAAGCGTGCTCATTTATTTATATTTGTGGTCTATTTACCTTTAATCATTAAGAGAAAATCAGGTAGGTACTTTTATTTTCTGTTTTCTAAGATGCCTTTATTTTAAACAGCTTTCTTTATCACTGTTTTGTTTATTCGAATGTCACATTGATTGACACTTCTTTACTGTCACAAATCTGACATCAAATTTTTTTTAATTACGAGTTGCATTCGTAAAATAAACAATTTTGTTAAAATCAACTTCATGGTATTACACCGTAAAATCAAAAACATAATTCAAAGTTGTAAATGCTTCACAATGCAGAGTATTTCTCAAAGCATAAATGTAATCTTTCAATTCTACAGCTTGATATACAGGAGCCTTGAAATTACCTTGTACCATTTGTTGTGTTATTGCTTTGTACATAATGTCTTTTTCCACACAGGAAGCACATCCTTCCCATTCGTGAATATGAAATCTATAGAACTCTGCATCGCACCGTAAAAACTGTTTTGCCATAGGTAGATCATAGCCACATCCATAATAAACTATAGCTCCATTTCGTTCAAGTAATTTTAACATGACATCTTCGTATCTACCACCTAAACAATTTAGGGCAAGTACAGGTCTAGCTAAGGATGTGTCGAAGGCAGTGAGCTCTTCTGCTTCTTCTAAAGTAAACACTGCAGTAGCTCCTAGACTAAGCAAATATGCTTTCACCGCTTCATACCCACAGTGACTAGCAACAATGTTAAAAGTGTTTATGCCTCGAGCTCTACACAGCTGTATAACAGATTGACCACACGGGCTATTTGCAGCATTTTGTATGATTGTATCTCCATGCTCTACTTTTCTAAAATCATTTAGCAGCCTGTATGCCATACATGGGGCTATTGACAACATGGAAGCTTCAGGAAGAGGAAGATTCTTTGAGATCTGATGGACATCCCTTTCATTATAAACACCATAGTACCGCCATGAGCCTAGCAGCCTGGATGATAGGACAACTCTGTCACCAAACTTCACTCTACAGACATGTTTACCCACTTCTACAACTTCACCAACACCTTCATCTCCTGGTACACTTGGTAGAGTTGGCAAACAAGGGTTTTTTCCTGAAAAGTAACAAGAAAAACTCATGTTACCAATATCAATGTTATAGAAATATAACAAGGAATTACTTAAATAGAATGAACAAGTTTATTTTAGGAAATTAATAAAATATATAAACAGAAAATTTTAAACAAATTTATTTTGAACATAAATTAATACAATACTAAAATTAACATAATATGTTTAATTAAAGTCTAAAATATATTTGCATCCTTGAAATCCTTTGGTAGTTAGAGTTTCACCAATGGCCTTCTGGAAATTATCAAATTTTACCAATTTGTGCACAGGGGCTTTCAGTTTTTTCTCCGATATCAAACTGATTAAATGGGACATCATTTCTTCTTTAGCTGTGCTGCTAGCCATTTCATTCCATGCAGTCATCCAGAAACCAAATAATGCTATGTTTTTGAAAATAAATGCAGATGTTGGAATGGTTACTGGTTCCCTCGACATTCCTCCATAGGTAACCATGCTCCCGGAATGTTGTAAGTGCCGTAACATCTCTAATGAGCTTTTCCCTCCAACACAGTTTAAAGCCAGCTTCGGTTTCTCAATTTTATCTTCTTTAAAAATTTTTGTTGATCGCAATTCTTCTTCTGTTAGGACAAAAGTAGCTCCCAAAGAATATAAATGATTCTTTAATTCATCTATATCTGGCCTGTCCCTAACAATGTTAATAGTTTTCACATCCCATGCTTTGCAGATCTGAATGACACATTGGCCACAAGCACTGTTAGCTCCATTCTGTATGACAACAATATTATGGGTCTGAACTGGTTGGAAATCTGATAGCATTCTATAAGCAGTGCACGGATTAACAGTGAGAGTGGCAGCTTCCACTAATCCTATATCATCTGGCACAACCTTCAATGAAGTTTGGTTAAATGTACCAATGTCCCTCCAAGTTCCTTGAACAGGCTTTGTAACTATAACTTTGTTTCCTGGTTTAAATCCAGATACATGTTCACCAACCTTCTCAATAATTCCAACTCCTTCATTTCCAGGAATACAAGGCAATTCCAATTTGACTGGGTATTTACCTACAACAAATAATTACAACATCAATAAAAAAATTAAATTGTTTACCTAATGCACTTATTTTGTTTAAATATTTAAATAAAATACCTTTGCAAGAAATCTTGACTTTCAACAAAACCAGAAAATGTATAGAAAAATAATTCATTTTGTGTAATCTCAATTGCTGTAAAAAGATTTATTTATTTCAAAGATTATGTTATGTACCTTGAATGGTGTTTATGTCAGCTGGATTGATTGGTGCGGCTAACATGCGAACGAGTACATCCTGAGAGCCCAAATCAGGAACTTCACTTTCTCTTATCTTTACAACATTTAGAGGATCTCCAAATTCGCTGTATACCAGTTGTTTTGACATTAAATTTCGTATAGATCCTGATAAGATCCGAGTTTTTGCGTAATATCTTGCAACTGCAAATACAGGTTTCGGTTTAGGTAAAAAAGCCATTGTATGTTTTCTAATTTACTTAAATTAAGTCAAACTTGATCAATATAGGTACTAAGAATTTATTATTTAATTCTGAGAGCAACAGTCTTGTGACTTGTTGCCGCCGGCTTTTTTAATTTGAGATGAGAATGCAAAAGCAGAATGTCAAAAAGAATTTTATTTTGAAATGTCACTTCTATGGAAATAGAAATGTCATGATAAAATTGACTTGTGACAGTGACATTAACTGCTGCCAGCCACAGAACTTAAAACAAAAAATAGAAGATTAAAAAAAGATCAGTTAACATATTTTTTTATTTATTTATTATTTTATCTGTTTAACCAATTCAAAAATATGATTTGTAGATTTCAGTGGTTCCGAACAGTTGTTATAATAAGACTAGCATCGTGAATGAGAGAACTCGACCACTTAGGCTGGCACCTCTCTCACTCTTCCTCTTATCTCAATAATTTACTTCACTTTTTCTGGGCAATAGGTAAATTATAACGTTATAAATTGCTTTATAGTTAATTATAGAGACAATAGTGTCCATTTCTTCTGAATGTTTGGTATTATACCTACTTACTAGTGACTAGTAAATACTATAGTGTATAAATCTTGCATAATTCCAGGCATAATTAAAAAAAGCTCCAATTTTAGGCATTTTTTTTTATTTAAAAGCTTTTACCGAAAGTCTAAAATATATTTATGTCCTTGAAAACCTTTAGAAGTAAGAGTATTACTAATGGCTTCTAAATAATTATCGAATTTAATCATCTGGTGTGTAGGAGCTTTAAGCTTATCCTTTAACATTAATACAATAATTTCTGATAACATTTCGTCTTTTGCTGATAAGTTACTAGCTTTTTTGTTCCAAGCAGTCATCCAGAAGCCCTGAAATGTTAGGTTTTTGAAAATAAATGCTGAAGTTGGGATGGTGACTGGATTTCTCGACATTCCTCCATAAGTAACCATGCAGCCAGAATGTTTCAAATGTTTTGCTATTAGTGATGAACTCTGTCCTCCCACACAGTTTAAACCTAGGGACGGTTTTTCAATTTCTTTATTTTTAAATATAGGAGTTGTTTTTGCTTCTTCTTCCGTTAAAACATGAGTAGCTCCCAAAGTTATTAAATATTTTTTTAAATCGTTTATTTCAGGTCGGTTTCGTACAATGTTGATAGTTTGAATACCCCATGCTTTGCACAATTGTATAATATTTTGGCCACATGAACTATTTGCTCCGTTTTGAATGACGACCAGGTTTGTCCCACGCACAGGTATGAAATCATTTAGCAACCTGAAGCTAGTGCAAGGGTTCACTGCTAGTGTTGCAGCTTCTGGAACTCTTAAAGCATCTGGGACCGCTGTTAGTGCTGAGGAACTGAATATGGCTAGGTTCCTCCAGGTACCTTGAGCAGGCATCGTAAGTATAACTTTATTTCCTAGACAAAACTTTTTTACTTCACTTCCAATCTTTTCCACAATTCCCACGCCTTCATTGCCAGGTATGCAAGGTAGTTTAAGTTTGACTGGGTATTTGCCTAAAACCAAATAATTTACAATTAATTAAAAAAAAAGTTAAGAATTTGTTCCTTGTACTATATTTCCCAATTACTAATATGACGTACCTATTTTATAGATAGGTCAATGGCAACGGCAACATCAACAGTAATAGTGTACATTAATATGATTTAATTTTAATTAATATTTAAAGTGAGCGAAACTTGCCTTGAATAGTGTTGATGTCAGCTGGGTTAACTGGAGCGGCTAGCATGCGTACCAGTACATCATTTGGACCCAAGTCTGGAAGCTTATACTCCTCAAGTTTTAGAACCTTTGAAGGATTTCCAAATTCAGAGAAAACCAGTTGTTTTGATGTTAAATACCGCACTGATCCTTTCAAAGTGTGCTTCAAGCTGAATTTAGAGTGAATATTTGCAATCATACCTATGCAACTGATTTAAAAAATAACTCACATTTTATAAAACTGTATTGTTTATTGTACACATTTTGACAAACGCCTGAAGTAGTATTATTGTTGCCCGATTGTTGCCTAGACACGAAGAAAATAGGTTTTTTTCCACACAGGTTTTCAGTAAAATGCCCCAACAAGTTTATTTTAGGTTAGGTATCTTGGTATTTTGACATTTTGGGAATAAAATGGCCGTATGCCATTTAGGGCAATGACAGCTTTTAAGTTACTTGGGCTCGGTCGGCGCAATACCTACTTACCAATGTCCCCTACTCCCATTTTCATCTAAAGGACAGACGTTGTAAAAGCTAAAAGCTCTTTGTTATCGTTTTACACACAGTTCTTTAATCTTTTCATTGGCAATCCTCTATTCTTTCATTCCTAAAGCCCCACGAAAATTCATCACTCGCCTTGTTTTCATCTCTTTTCGGTATTCATTGCTTATCATCATACTCGTATAAAAGACTATTTTCTTTTAGTATGGATATCTCTATATCATTGCAATTTCTCCTATACGGCTACGTTGACATCAATGGTAAGATGGCCAGTGATGAAGCACAACTAAAAAGGGATTCATAATGTAGAAATGATACAGGTTATTGAGTCAATGTCAATATTTTATTCAAAACCACCAGAACAAGTACAATGAAATCAAAATTACATGGTTGATAGCTCTTAATATTGCACTTACATGGTGGTGCTAGTGAAGCTTAAAGTTCTATTAGTCCTATCAGTGTAGCTGTGACAAGTTGATGGACTCATGACTTGATGTTAGCAAATAATCTATTGTTCAATAAACCTTAAGCTGCACTAGTGACTTACGTAACAAAAGATATGCTCATTAAGTTGCTAAATATTTTGCCATTCCTTCATCTTTTAGAAACCTGTTAACTCGACTGTCCAGGTCTTTACGTGCCATGGGAGCGGTGGAACTTGGGGGAGCTATGGCTTCTGGGGATGGCGTTTGTGGTCTAGGAACTCGGAAGCGACGAGCTCGCGTTAACTGCCAGGCAGTGCTTGTGTTCCGCATTGCTCTGCCAGCTCCTGCACTCTCATCCACGGCAGCCAGTACAGGGCGAGGGACACTGAAAAGTAATATGAAATACATTATTATTATTTAGACATCTTGGAAATAATTTTTAATTTTCCAATTCAGATTTTTACTTACTAGGCCATTGTGATGGACGCTCTCAATCGAGCTGGTGCTATCACTGATGGTAAATCCGCTGAAGAGTTTCTCTTCAACCCTGGGAAATAATTGAACAATTTAAAACACTTTTTTCTAACAATCAGCACCCAATAAAAGTAGTTTCGTATCCTTATAGTCAGTACCTACTTAAAGTCTGAATAAGATGTCTGTAGTTACCTGATAATACCAGATAAAAAAGTAATAGAAAAATCCCTAAGTGAACAAAATACTAACCCGAGGACTTTACATTATAAATGGTTGATTTGTCTCTCCACTTCTGAGAGCAAACAGGACAAATTGATCGACGTATCGACCATCGAGGTAAGTCATCGTTTTGGGACGGCTTGACTTTTTGTAATCCCGGAATTTCTAGGGGCGCCTGTGAAAAAAGAATATCAATAAATAATATCGGTCGGTTTTGATCATATCATAAAAACATTCATGGATGTTAATTTCAATATACAATATTTTGAAATCGGCCGAGTAGTTTAGCCAATTCTATGTAAAAAACAAAGAATCTTTTCCCTCTATATTATATCATGCGAATCAATCTACTTATTGGCATTGAAATAATATATTTAAATATTCTTTATTGGGTTTTAAATATGTATAATGAAACTAACTGGGGCAGGTACGATAGGGGTCTCGAAGGCTAAGATGGAAGGTATATCCATATCGCGTCGGGTAGATATTCTTGACATTCGAGATCGAGAGACACTGCGTTCTGTCATACGCATGCTTAGGCCGTGTACACAGGCTTCGCTTGAGGGGCTGGTAAAAAAGATTAGGTATGTTCTGAGATGAAGTGGTGTGATAAGTGGTGTTACAATTTAATTTGTGCACCTCTGTCTACCCTTTCGGGGATTTAAAAATGATGTTTGTTACATTAAGATAATTTAAACGCTAAAAGCTATAGTAAAAAAGATGATTGAATTTCCGAAGCCGAAGGTTGAGTTGACTAGCCTATGTCTAAATAAATAGACCTATGACCATAATAGGAAATATTACAACCATGTCTGTGGCCTTTAAAATCTTTAAAAACAATCAATTTTAAGTGTGGGAGAGCTATGCTTCGGCACGAATGGACCGGCTCGACCGGAGTGATACCACGACCTCACAGAAAACCGATGTGAAAAACCGCTTGCGTTGTGTTTCGTCGTCGTGTGAGTGAGGTTACCGGAGGCCCAATTACCCTAGTCCCCGTCTCCGGAATCCCCGAATTCCCAAATTCCCAATTCCCAAAAGGCCGGTAACGCACTTGTAAAGCCTTGGTGTTTCGTACTCGAAACACCAAGGCCCATGGACGGCGCCGATTGCTTACCATCAGGTGATCCGTCTGCTCGTTTACCGGCTTATGATATAAAAAAATCTTCTTTTATAATTAAAATTAATTAAAAAAAGAACAAATAATTAAGATTTCGTTAGGTATTAGTTATAACGTTCATAACAGTGACTTATTCGCCAAAGAAAACTGTGAGAAAGTTGTCGTAGTTAATAGACATAATTGAATCGAGAGTGAAAGTTAAGTGGGAAATCTAGAGCTTTTTTACTAATGTTTCTTTATCGTCTTCAGTTTTTGTTACGCCATTGTAAACGCCAGGTGTAGATATTGCACAGATTATAATTGGCTAATTGCTGCCGTCCATCGCTCTTTGGAAGTTGTAGTAATCATTGTAAGTAGCTGTTGAAGAATAGTGTTACATCTCCACGTATTTTGATAAGTGAATTGTTAATAATATAATAATTATTATTAATACAAAAATAACTGTTCAATTAACTAACTCATCAGAAATATCGTCTTGTGGCAAATCGAGAGTTTTGTCTTGAGCCTCTTCCTCGACCTCTCGACTTTTTCGTCGCACCATATCTAGGAGTTGAGTTTCCGTCCCGCCCAGGTCATCAGATCTGGAGAACCAAATTTAAATATGAAAGTTGGGACATAAAATTAACAATCGGAAAAGAAATAACGTTTTGTAGGGCTATGACAAAATTGTACTTAGGCATGCAAAATGCACTCAGAGAAAATCCCTAGATACGTAATTTTGAACAGCAAGCGCATGATTTATAATACCAACATAGAGCGTATAAAGTTATAGAAATAATACGGTACAAGCAGCTACCTACTGTTAGATTTGACTTGTTTTTTAGCATAAGGTACAATAACCAACCAAGTTCAGTATTTAGTATGCAGGTAAGAAAATAAAGATTGATTGAGAACAGAGACCTGCATACCAAATAACTTGGGTGTCTGTAGTTACCTTCATTAAAATGTACCACGTTAGTAAGTTGTTGGATGCAGGTTGCTTCCATTCCAACCGAAAGACCACAACAAATTAGGGAAGATCTTTTTTTGGGTGGATAATCAAAAGTCTCAATTCACCTCTCGATTACCCGAACCAGTTCTGCTATTCGAACTCCCGAAATGAGCTCCATCGCATTCTCGCCCGTCATTGGTCGAGATTATTCTGACAACCAATGACATAGGAAACCGGGATTGAGCTCACTTCGAGACTTGGAATTGACATCATGCAAAGTAACCTAGCTGTAGTCTATACCGTGTTGGTGCTGCGGTATGTTTAAGCAATAATACCTGCTTTGTTTAGCTCTTCTTCTTGTGGCTGATACGATAAATTTGTTAGAGAAGTTATACTAACCGCATATAGTTGATACAACTCTCGTGAATATCGCTCTGTACTGACATCAAGGTGGCGATGTCGGGCGGGCTCTTCACCTCTTCGCCGTATATAGTGCTATCCCGTCGTGTCGCACGCATCCTCATCAACAGCGATGCGTATGGAGTCGCATCATTGCTCATAAAGGAAATGCGACGCTGATCATCCTTTTCGGACCTTAATTTAAGAGACAGACATTATAACGTAAATAATCCAAGTAACAAGACAAGTGTATGACAAGTAGTTAGCACTGCAGGACTGCATGAAGATGCCGCTTGTGGTTCCATACTTCTACCTATCCTAGAAAAATTATTTTAGTTTCAGCACATAACAAATGTAAAAAGAAACTGAATTAAAATAGCATGTATTGTAATAGAAATAATGATAAATATCCCATTTATACATTAACGACTTAATTTGAATTTATTTTTATTCAATTTTAACTTAAATACTATGTCTAATTTGGTGAATTAACTGCAAAAAAGTTTTTAGTAAGTACACAATTAATTTTAACAAAACAATTTATCGTTAAACAACCACTAAATACAATAAGCAGGAAAACCGTTAAATTTAAAAAAAAGTAGAGTACACAAAACAAACGCCTGTAGACGGTTTACGGCGAAACGCGAGAGTTTTGATTGAGATGAACGAATTGGAAGCTGGCTTGACTTTTTCACTGGTTACGTGACTCACGATGTGAGTCAGAGACTGGCTATAAACATAAAGGAGGTTGTGTTCAACGGCTGGGCAGTAGCGGTTGAATAAATGCAACTTGACTCCTAACAGGCCTTGAGACCTATGTCGACGTAATCAACTCCATTGCAACTTGTACATACAAACGTGGACATATATTTTAAACCAAAAATGTCTTCACTGGATCCTTTGAATTTAAAGATAGCATTGAAATAAGGAAAATCTCTGGAACATTTTATGAAATGTATACATATCTCCTTGATTTATCTGTATTTACTTACCTCTTTAAAAATAACGGGTGTCTTGTTATGTATAAAAAAAACTTACGGTACATAAAAACAATATGCAAAATACTTGTTGACACAGACAAGACCGTTCTAATTCAGATGAACAAAAGATTTCTGTTTTCAACGAGAAAGTACTGAAAATGATGTCTTGAAAAGCGGATTATTGTAAATTGAAAAGAGACTACTTAACTGTTGTGGGACCAAGCTGAACACGCGGTGTGCCGAGTACAGTTTTGTGTACCGAGCCTTCCAGTCGTCATTTTGCTTCCAAATTGATTTCCTGAAAAAATCCGTGACTTGTATTAATAATGCGAACGATTATTAGGATGTGTGGATTTATGCATGTTTAATACAAGGTGTAAGCGGAACGCTTCCGAAAAACGCCAATAGGTGGTGGTAAAAAAATGTTTTATTTTCATAAAAGTAATTAAATGAAAAAGAATTAAATGTTTATTTTAATGCAATAATAGTTGTAATCAACTGCTCAAGGCTGACGATGCATGAATAACACGAAAACAAAAACGATTAAAATGTTAAAAACATTTTTTTGTCCGTTCCATTTAGAGTCTGTATATTTGTGAACATGGGATATACACAGAGATATATGCCAGCCTTTTTTTTGCAGGGGAAAAATCATCCAATGGCTTCTCCCGCCCCCGGGTGAAGCGAGAGGGAGTGTCAGACTCTTACTGACTAAAAACCAACCCGTTCCTACTCCTGCACTTTGAGCCGGAGCCCCCGGCAACCCGTTAAGGCTTCCGCGGCTCCGTACCATATAAGCCTGGAAAAGTAACCTATGTGTTACTTTTTACCTAAGATCCGTCACCGCGGGCCCAAGCTACTGGCAAAAGCAATGTAGTGAGTTATTATACGTATAAAAATACGCATCGTTAAATTTGTTGGAGCGTACTCATTCATTGGAGTTTTTACCCTAGTTATTGGTAATTTGAATACGAAAACAAAATTAGCAGCTATTGTGGGATTTTATGTCTTCTTTTATTAGGTCCTTGAAATCATTGTTAAACAAATTTTTTCCTGTTAACACTAAAATCTGAGAATGGGCCATAACTATAGCCATATTAATAATAAATATAAAAACTGTGCGGTTAGTTAAAATTTATTTGTTAAATTTTGTTTTAAGTTAATGTTTTTGTCACAATGTTTTCTGAATGATCAATACAATGCGAATGAACAAGTAATGATTCAAATCGAAGGCCATGCATCTGCGGTGATGCCAAATGATCGTTACAATAACAATACCACTACAAGTGACGAATCATTTAATATTCTTTATTGTTTGTGTTCTTTAGGTTGGATACTTAAAGTTTTATTTACTTGTAGATTTTTCATGAAAAATACTGACTAAGTCTGCCTCGTTGGCCGAGTGGTTTAATTCCCGGGTCGGGCAAAGTACTACTGAGTTTTAAAAATTCTCAGTAGTAGCACAGAGTCTGGAGTAGTGCTCGGTATATGGCAATAGGCTCACCCCCTATTACATGGAACTCATGACATAAATAGTGAAAAGTGGGTGTTACATTGCACAGTCGCATTAAGTGCCGTAATGTACACCTCTGCCTACCCCTTCGGGGATAAAAGGCGTGAAGTTATGTTGTGTTATTTTTCGTGAAAAATATTACTAAAAACTATATAAAGCGATTTTGGAAAAATGCAATGACCTTGTTGGTCTAGAATCCTAACAAATGGTTCTACCTGACCCAATCCTGACCTGACCCAATCCCTATGTCTGGGACTTTATTACAATAGGGTAACGTAACTGGTTATATGGGAGAGTACTAGAAAATACTACTTTTGTTTGTAAATTAACAAATACATATAGCTGGATTTTAATGTTTACAGGTCAGCTCATTGATTACTGTAGAGCTTAGATGACACATCGTTATTGATTAAGTAATTACAATTTACTGCTTTTTATTTCAACTTACTGCATATTTTTATTTATATTCTTTATATTACTTAAATCTGTTGGTTTGTTTTCCTTGGTTATAATAGCTCCACAGTACTTCCAATTTGACAGAGATGCTTGTTGTTGACAAACAGTTTTTTTTAATTATTTTGCAGTTTATGGCTCAAAAATTATGTGCCATGTAGGTTTCACGTATTGAATTAGGTGGTTATGTCTTTGTTACTATTTTTTAATTATTTATAGGGCCAAGAAAATATCTAGTAGCACGTTTTCACTTTCATCGACGTATCTATTCATCTACTTAAGACGGTAAGTAAATCAATCTTTAAAAATTAAATAGATATGTAAATTTATTCAAACTTAGGTATTTTTAACTTGAGATAATATATTCTGTTGTATTTTCTTATTGACCTAGATAAACCTCCAAGTTTCTCTGAAATACAAAACAGTTTGGTTCTTAGTAACGAATTATTATGGTTCTTAAACTTTTTAAAATAGTTTTAGCAAACTTGTGGATGACTCTACACCAACCACAATGGTTCTTATTCAGAAACATGATTACCTTGAGATCTATTGACCTGTAACGAGCGTGCAAGCCATGAGGCACTCATTAGTTTAGATATTTATCTCACTTACATAAATAAAACGTAGCGTCGCATAACAAAGAACTTGAATTAGTTCGATAACAATATTCAGTGTGTAAGTCCCGTTATAATTGTCTGAAGCTGATTTTGTGGTTAAAGCACCTAGTACCGGTTCACACTCACATGTCGCGGAAAAATTCGCCTCTTTGAATAAGACAGGACATTTGTTTAGTTTCAAATTGTCAGTATCAAATTAAATGTAACAATGCAATTGGAAAAGTAATTTGATAGACGGTGTTGTGACGGTGTCAGGCGGCGGCGGGGCGCCGAGCCTGTCTCCTGGCGCAGAGTCGCGCTGCTGCGTCCGTGTCGGCTTTAGTCGCTCCGACCGCGAACAACCGCGCACACGTTGCGCCGCCGAGCACGGGCTCCATGCAACAGGCTCGCCGATAACGCGCTCCATTTGAACGTAACAATCATTCTAACTGCACTATTGAACCCATTCACACTTACTACGGACCATTATCGAATTACGTTTTACGACGTCCCAAATTGTAAGATTCGTTGTCGTTTCGCTCCCAAACCGGCTCTGTGACCATATGATCCGCATTACAGTGGAACTGTTGCCCGATTTCCGATATCGGTGGGCAGTCACGATGTGGATCTTAAACTGAAGTGCACACTGGATTATTGTGTTGATGGACACGTTTGGAAACTGTGACAGAAGATTGTAAGGTGTCTGTGATTGTTTGGTGACATTATAGTGTTGGAGATGTGAATGTTGACGTTGATTTTAATGTATTAGTGTTGTTATTGAATAAGTGCAATGGCTGGTGCTAGTGAGGAGGGTGGTGGTGTGGAGGAGACCACTCCTAGTTCTGCGGTCGAAGGACGCGGTAAGCGTGGCCTGAGTGGGTCCATGTCACTGCGCACGCGCAAGCTGGGCCGGCGTCTCTCGCGCAGCATGTCCATCGTAGCGCTGAAGCTACCGGAGAAGGCGCATAGCATCACACGATCATCGTCGAAGCTGATGAGATCTGGGAACCGCGACAAAAAGAACAGATCATTCGAGCTCTCTATTATATTACCGGACAAGACACAGAAACAGGTAAATGACGTTATGTTATGATTATTTTGGCATTTGCGTTATGTGATAATTGTTTGATAACGACATTTTCTTGACGAAATCTAAAATTCGATAAAGTAGTTGAGACGTTTAAATAACGTCTGATAATACTGTTTTGTTGGTTTATGTTTACATGAATACCAATGTCTCGAAACTAAAATGAGTTTATCATTTGTTCAATTGCAAGTTGTTTTGAGATTGCAACGTAGTACTTCACAGAACTGATTAAATAATAAATTATTTTAGTCTCAGATAACAATGTTACGATAGATGAAGCAATTTATTTGCATTAAAATGAAAGGACGTAACGAGAAAGAGACAAAATGGAGACCATCCATAGATTCCAGGATGTGTAAATATTGATATTTAAAATAGCGGGTTCTTAAGTAGGCAGTTGCATCGGAATGTATTTAAGTAGAATTGTTTACCGATCGCTACCTCAACTTCGGGTTAATGGTTGTATTTTTAAAAACAAATGGCTGAAGGATTTACGATTTAGACTTTACGTTTGGAAGGTATACGTTTAACGCCATGCATTCGAATGTGCTGTTTACTGAGTCACTGCAGTTTTACCGGCGCTGGTGTTTCGCCACTGCCTCGTGTCGCCCACACCGCTGATTTCTCCATTGATATAATAATGAGGTGCAATTGCCTTTACGTTCAAATCAGTCAGTAAGCATTGTTTGCTTTTGTCATTGAGCCGGGAAATGTTCTTTGTGTCAAACTACCGGATGACGCTTTGAACAACGATGACTTTCAGCTGATTGTGATCGGTTTAGACTTTCATTTAGGTATTTTCGGTAGATAAGTAAATTATTTGGTTAAGTGTTGTGTGTGTGGTAATGGCCATAATATACCTGAGCTGCACTGCACGACTTGACCTGATTCTAAGCAGAAACATGCGGTGTAACAGCTTATTTCAGTAACTTAGAATTCTAGTGGTTTGTGGTCTGACGTCTGAGCTCTCGCGGCCTAAGATCATGGCTCGGTAATTATACTTTTTGCACCGCCAACTCTTTATTCTGAACTTCCTTTACTGTGAAGGATAGAATCGGTTCCGGTGGTAAGTTGCTTAATTAATTCAACAACTAATTACCGCTAACATTGACTACTAAAAACTGCCGTTCGACATTTTCATTCTCCTTATTTCATTGCAATTTCAATTATATTTTATCATCGAAATAGTTCACACAAAGTTATTTCAAAGTCGTTCTCAGGTTTTTGTCGTTTAGTTATAGAGCGTGGCGTGGCGGTTATTATTATATTTGTAAATACAGTTTTGAAGTATGAAAATGTTTACGTTAAGACAGGTTGTGAAATATATTCCATATTTACGTTGAGTCGGAGACTCGTGAAAGATGTTTACAAATACACAGTAATCTTTACGTCTGTCTGAAGATGAATGGATTCCATTCATCTTCATAATTTCTTCAATCTTATAGATAGATACATTACCTACTTTTAAATTCTACATGCTCTGAATCTCCAAGAATTTTACTGTGATTGATTTTGTTATTGCCGATGCATTCAGTTGGAATGGTTCGTCTATCAACCGATTTATGTGCAGTAAATTCTTCATTGTTTAATTTTACTTCTATAAATTTGATTACCTGAATTCCTACATCTAAATTTCAAATAAAGCATTTACTGTAATCTCAATGATGTAATTTTCAATTTTAATTCCTTTAAATGCCTCATTTATATTGTTGAAATTGCATTTGTTATTCACAAGTGTGGGTGTAGTGAATTGCAGCTAAACACCGAATATTTTAAAGGACTTATTGTCTTTGTCTCCGGCTGTCATTCTTCAAATCTGCTGGAGAACAATGGTGA